AACAGATGTTGTTAGTTATATGACAATTGATTAGTATATTTGGTAATACTGAAGCTTGAAAAACCTTTGTTAAACTCTATGCTACCATTTGCTTTTTTCCCGCCAAATCTCCGGCGTCTGACGTCACCTACAACATGGGTCGCTTACCTTACTCGTCTTCAAGTAACTTAAAGAAGTCCAGACGCTTTTCTTTGCAAGCTCCTTTGACTACGATGACCTGGATGACTGAGAACCTTCACAGACAACATTTCCTTTTACATACTCAGTATTTAAGTATGTCTCAGAAATTAAAACAATACTTCAAAAATGGAATGTTAGCATGTTATTTGAAGATGTCATATACTAGATTTTCTGTAAAAAAGAATTCACATTCAGATATCATTTCATGTCTGGAGCCTAGAAGATCTGAAGGAACCATTGCCATCAGTCAGCTGTGTTTGATCTCTTTTTAACCAATGAACTACATTTAAGAATCATTAAGGAAGTGGTGAGAGAGTCTTGATCCACAACTCTGTGTATCCAGAAGCTGTACCAAAAAGAACAATTATGCATTTTTCTATGATGTGTGGAATAAACATATTCAATTTTTTGTACAGTGTTTTGTATAAATTCATATTCTTGCTAAATGTGAAGACTTTGTGAATTGTTGCTGTTTCTGTTGACTTTGACTTATTTGTCTTATAATGGCCGATTGTTTAAAGTTGATTTTGTTTCATAATAAAGTTGGAAAAAAAAACAAAAAACGAAGATGATTTGTTCATGGCAAGAAAATTCATCTTTTTGGTACTCTGCTTTTTAAAAATATGAACAAGTTTTTTTTTTTTAAACTGTGGTTGACAATGTATCAAATCTAAAATTTAACAAAAGACAAAATAAGAAAAATTAAGAAAGTAACAAAATCAAATGCAGAAATTCTAACACTAACTCACTCACAAGTGAGTACACAGTAACTGCATCAGTCACATTGAACCTTCTACAATGAACCATATTTGTACTGTAGCCCAGTGAGACAAACCACTCTTCCTCTCTAGCCTCCTAAATCTGATCAGACATACGTGTCTCTTACCGTTTACTACCAACAGCAGATCACCCACAGAAATTCTGTGATTGTGACATCATGCTAATTTGCCTGCTTTGTAATTCTGTACCTTAAACAAAGAATGCTTTAATAAAAGTGTAATTTTCTAATTTAGCAAGTAACTTGATACAATGTGAAGCAAAAAGGGTAAAAACACCAACAGTATGCTAGTGTTCTTCAGGATGAGAAAGAGTTCTTTGCTGAAGCTTTTACTAAAGCTCTTATTTCTCACTAACTTGTCACTGGCCTGAAATTTGGACAAATCTGCTTTGGAAACCAGCTTTTACATTTTTTGTTAGGTAAATTGTGGCAGGGCATTCCTCCCAGCTATGCGTTAAATTCTCCTATTAGAAAACCAACACCAAGCTATAGGGTAGTTAACCTCTCATTCACCGAGGAAAAGGCCAATATGCAGTCAGTGAACTGGAGGCTGTCAAATATTAGATGTATTAATTTTGCGAAATTTCAAGTAAAAAATGGAGCTGTTAATCAATATTTTTGTATGCAAGACACAAAGACTAGAGGAGTAAAGAAGCTGAGGAGATGATGAGATTGATGAGGAAATGTGCATCTTCAGGGCTAGGTTAACAGGATAACCTTTCCAGTGATGAGACACACCGAATCCCATCTTAAAAGCAGCTGAGATAAAACTTAGAAAAACTGGATCCCTGTGACAACACTTTAAACAGTACTTTGATACAACTCACGGCTGAAAGCAAAGGGTCACTTGAAGGCTCACATCACAGACAAATACTGTATTTACTTCTACGGAGGAAGCGGGAGCTATGGAAGCCCATTTCCGCCACTAAAGAAAAGGTATCCTATCTTTCTTGAAATTTCAACTTATTAACTCGAAATTTTGATTTATTAACTCAAAATTTTAAGAAAAGTAACTCGAAATTAAGAGTTACTGCCGATCAGTAATCTACGTGACTGACGCCATTTCCTTGTTACCTGGAAGCTGAAGCCCTCAGCTACAAATGCTACAGCTAAGCTACCAGTATTACAGCCAGTCATGAATGCACAAATTGCTCAGTATTTTCAGCGTAGCTTCACAAATGATGAAATCCTTGTGTTATTAGTTGAATCACATGGCGTTAAGATTAGCAAACGTACTCTCGAAAGCGCCAATTTTTTGTGATCCGGTTTTCTAAGGACTGTTCAGCAACTCCATTTGGCCCTGTTAGTGCATATAATTCAAGTATGTATGAAAACTATATTCTGATTTTGTTTATTCCAACAGATTCAGGAGATTTTTCATCACCCATAGTATGAAAACAAAACAAAACAATAGGTAGTAGAGTAACTATACAATTGTTGTCTGATTTAAGGTGACAATCTTCTGCAGCCTTTCTACTGTGGAAAATAGTGACAACTAATGTTAATAAAACATGTTAACTAGTATTTCCTACACCTGGTTTCTGTCATCTAGCTAGGCTAGCAATCAGGTTTCTAGAAGGAATAACCATAAAATACACCATCAGGAGAATAAACCAGATGTTCTCCACTGAATGATCCAAGGTGTACGCTCGGAGGTAGGCAAACAATATGAGAACAACCCCACCAAGGCTTGTAATTCTGGAAATGTTGGAGGGCCAAGAGTAATGCTAGAGTCTCCTTCTCAATTGTGCTATAATTTATCTGATGCTTATTGAACTTTTTTGAGAAGTAGCACACTGGATGATCAATTCCCCGATGATACTCCTGCAAAAGTACAGCATCTGCACCATAAACACTGGCATCCACTGCTAATTTGAAAGTGCGAGTAAAATCAAGGGCACCTAACAATGGGGCACTGCACAACAGAGCTTTGGCTGAGTCAAACGCTTTCTGACAGTCTGAGTTCCACAAAAAGAGGCATGGCGGACTTGACAAGGCATTTAAAGGAATAACCATTATGGCAAAATTTTTGCAGAACACATACCCAGAAACCAGCGAAGCTGACGCTGTGTTGTTGGTACTGGGAAATCCAAATTGGCCTGACCTTGTCCGTTAGAGGGAGTACCTGCCCCTATCCCACCTGTTCCCCCAGATAGGTAACCACAGCATTGCCGGACTCGCACTTGGCAAGATTCACTGTCAGGCAGGCATCCTTAAACCGGGCAAAAACTTCCTGCAGCGTGTCCATGTGCTCTGGCCATGTTGGTGAATAAACTACAATATCGTCTAAGTAAACTTCACAGCCATGGACACCCAATAGCACCATATTCATCAGCTTGAGGAGCAAGATAAAACAAGTAAAACAAATGAGCCTCAAGATCCTCCAGGATTTTAGAATTTTCCAAGCGTGCCCCAGAGCTTGGTCCCTGGTGCTCATGCAACCCATCCACCTCAGGTTGGTAAGTGGGTGATCCCACCGTCACAACAGGGGAGCCCATGTTGCTATGACTCCTTTCATGGACCACATATTTCTTCAACATGTTGATGTGACAGAGCGGGACTTTTTCCGCCCACCTGTTTTAATCAGATAATCTATGTCACTGATTTGGTGCTCAACCTCATAAGGACCACTGAAGCGAGGCTGAAGACAAGAATCCACGATGGGTAGGAAAACCAAAACATGCTCACCAGGCAGAAAGGTACGCTTGAGGGTTTTCCTATCATACCTCACCTTCATTTTACTCTGGGTATTAGAAAGCGAGCTACGTGCCAGCTCACACGCAGCGTGCAACCTCTCCCTAAACGAACTCACATAATCAAGTACATTGTGCGCGGGTCTGGGCTGGTCTGCAAGCCACCTCTCCTGGAGCAGACGCAGGGGTCCGCGCACAGTGTGTCCAAAATCCAACTCCGCCGGGCTAAAACCCAGGGACTCTTGTGTGGCTTCTTAATTGGCAAACAGCAACAACGGCAGGCCCACATCCCATTCTGAATGAGTCTCAACACAGTACATGGCCTGATTGTACTGAGGCCTGATTGTACTCTAAAGGCCTGATTCCACCAGGCCTTTAGAGTCTGGTGGAATCGCTCCAATGCCCCCTGAGTTTCTGGGTGATAAGCACTAGACACCCGGTACTTAACAGACAGTTCCGACATAACTTGAGCAAAAACCCTAGACAGGAAATTGAACCCCTGGTCGGTTTGAATGTTTTTTGGTAACCCAAATGTAGAAAAAAACTAGTGCTTTCACAATGGCCTTCGCCCTGAGTGATCGCAGGGGAATGGCCTCTGGAAATCATGTGGCTGCACACATTATGGTAAGTACATACTGGAAACCTGCCCTGGTCTTCGGCAAGGGCCCTACACAGTCTACTATGACATGTTCGAAGGGTTCACTTATTACAGGGGTGGGATGTAATGGTGCAGGAGGGATGACCTGGTAGGGCTTGCCAGTCACCTGACAGACATGACAGGACCGACAATAATGAGCCACATCAGATTTAAGCCCTGGCCAAAAAAATAAATAAAAAAATAGCAGAGCACTCTGTCATATGTTTTTTCTAATCACTAAGTGGCCCAACAGATGATGCTCATGGGCAAGACTCAAAATCTGGGGTCGGTACTCCATCGGCACAACAACCTGACTGACCACATCACCCTCTAACCCAGACACCGGAGTCCACTTGCGCAACAGAACCCCGTGGTCAAATTGGTAGGACACAGAACTGGTTACAGCCACCTGCTGCAGGGCAGCAGATCAGCAGACAGACAAAGTATCATCAGACTGTTGAGCCTCAATGAGCTGCTCCCTCTTCACCGACAAACACAAGTCATCTGATGCCACACTAAAAACCCTAGATTTTTCACCGTTTACCTCCAGGGAAGGGCTAGTATGTGATTCAGAGCCATCCAAGAACGTCTCAGATATGTCCACCACGTCACCAAGGAGACGAGCTTGAGCACATGTAACCACACATGCCGGAAAAACTGTGGAGTCGCAGAGTCCAGAAGAGGTATGACACAAAACATCCAGAGTAGGGCATTCAGTGACTTCAGGAGTGGCGGGAAACACCTTTCCCCTAGCCAAGTCATTTCCCAGAATAAGATCAATGCCTTCAATTGGCAGCTGATCTTGCACCCCCACCCGCACCGTGCCAGATACAAAGGGGGAGGTCAAGGTAACACTATGAAGGGGCATGTGCAAAATACTCATCTTAATTCCCCACACCAACAAATTGGAGCCACAATACGACTGCTTAGAGTAAGGCACAATTCCTTTTTTTTTTTTTCTGCCTGTCCCATTTGGTTCTTTAGCCATCAGAATTGTTGTCTGAAGACCAACAAGGATACCCAATGGATTTACTTTGCCAAATGGATCATCGTGGCATTGCCGTATTGGTCCATTTGGTCGATCTTTGTTTTTATTATTTATTATATTTTATTTTCAGATGTTACAGACGGGACAGACATGAGTGAGGGATAGGAAAGGGAGAAAGAAAGAGGAAGGAAAGGAAAAACAGAAGGGGAGAGGGACAGTGAGAAAGGGGGGGGGAGAAAAAAAAATAAAAATCTCCTGGATCACCTGTTGAGAGAAGAATAGAAAACAAGCAAAAAAAAACAAAAAAAACAAAACAAAGCAACATACTAAACACAACACCATCGCATTAATCTAGCTAAGTGTGAACAGCAGTAAATACTAAATATTCAATGTTGTTGTGCAGCACGCAGGATAGATGTGCTTCGAAGTAGCAGCCAAGAAAGGTGTAATTTGGGTCTACGAGCAGTGAACACCCGTGTGCATACCTGTGTGGATCAGCGCGCTTGTAGGCACAATTCTACGCTGTGCTACAGAATGCTTTGCGGTCGGATCCCTTATTATGCGGTTTGGAACCCGTTCCGCTGCATCACCAGACAGTGAAAAAGAACCTACAGAGATAAAAGGTTTGAACATTTCATCTATCTCCACTGGTAACACCCCATCTGGCACTGGCCCAGGGTGGTCCACAGTAGAACAACACTGTACTGGCCCCACTCCAGATGTGTTTTTACTCTACAATACCTCCTTGTTCCTTAGCTCTGGACAAAAAGCAATGAGGTGACCGAGTTAATGACAGTACAAACATCTGTAGTCCCCTCCCGGCATTGCAGGGCTGCGCCGTGAAACCGGAGGTGATCGTGGCCCCCCCAGGCGAAACTCTAGGGCTCCGACACGTCGGAGATGAAAAACCACTTTTGTGATTCAAAGCAAACTCATCCGCCAAGACTGCTGCATTTGCAAGGGACTCAACTTTCTGTTCGTTTAAATAGACAACAACCCACTCTGGCAGGCACCCCTTAAAATCCTCGAAAAGCAACAATTCCCAACTGTGCAAACTCCTTGACTTTGTGCTAGTCTGACACCACTTATCAAAAAGCAGACCTTTCTCACACGTGAACTCCACATAAGTCTGATTTTCCCCTCTCTCACACTGCCAAAATTTCTGACGGTACGCTTCAGGCACCAACTCAAAAGCACGCAACACAGTAGCTTTAACAACATCATAATCCAAGCTTTCAGTCGCTGAGAGGCTAGCATACACCTTCTGAGCCCTACCTACAAGCCTACATTGCAGCAGCAAGGCCCAAACTTCCTCTGGCCATTTCAAAGCATTAGCAACACGCTCAAAAGCAGCAAAAAACAAATCCACCTCAGTCTCACTAAAGGGTGGCACCAATTTAATGTGCTTACCCACATCAAAATCTTGATGGGGAGCCTGGGGGAGACCAGGTGTGAGTGGTGAAGGGTTGGGGCTACAAGGCTGGCATTCTAGCTCTAGCGCTCTCACCCTAAGGTGCATTGCTTCCACCTCCAACTTGCAATTACTCAGCTCCACTTCCTTAATGCGGAGCATCAGCTGGAGCTCCTCAGCTGACGTCCCCACCGCAGGAATAGGAGGAGCTACAGAAGAAGTGGTTACAGGAGGAGCAGTGGAAAGAGCAGGTAAAGGAGCTAGTGGCTCCACAACAGCTTTGCCTGCCCCTTTTGCAACCGCCACATCTGCCAATAGGCTCCTCTCACCCAAGGCCTCAGCGACAAGCTGCCGGAATTCGTCCTTCTTCACCACCAACGGTGTTTGCACATCAAAAAGGCTGTCAATAAGCAGGAAATCACCTTCCTACACTTATTCAACTGCTGCAAGATAGGCTTCTCAGCGAACTTATCCAAATCTAACTCCATTGTGGCCAACAACACAAACCAGCCACCAAGAAATAGACACACAAAGCAGCAAACACTTATGCACTTACACAAACACCACAAAACACAAATGGGCAAGGACGAGCCCCCAATTATGTCAGACACCGGCCTAGGGGGCTGGAGTGCAAGACAAGGAAAACAAGAAAAAGACCGCAAAGAAGTAAATCACACAGCCACAGCTTTACAATGACTAGTCGTTTTATTAACTCGACAGGTAGAGAACGTCGGGGTGGGCATGGCCAAAACAACAAACAAACACACTAGAAATGAATCCGAACTGACTTACCTTTAGTGAGACAACCCCAAAAGAAAATACAAGTCTCTTACCTGTCTCCCTACCCAAAACACGAGAAAAAGGTTCTAAAAGAAACGTCTTCCCACCCCTACAGCTACCATGTCCAGATAGAAGTCTCTCTACCCTATTTTCACTGCAGCCTAGCTCTTCTCATTTCAGAAAACTCAGTCACACGGCACGAAGTAAGTAAGAGGGGGCTGCCGGCCCAGTCAGGTCCCAATTTGTAGCCGGCCTCATTCCATCTTCCACCAATGGTCAGCCTCCACCTGGAAACTTACATAACACAAACATTGCCTGGTGTGGCCAGTAACAGCACCACACGGCAACAATGACCTAGGTCATAACAGTGTACATGCGTGTGTATGTGTGTCCTGTGATCAGCTTAAGAGAGTGTTCTTCCACCCAGTTAGGCAAAAGCTGACACAGGAGGCCTTGGAAAGATATGGGCACAGAGAGCCATAACAGTCTCATTATCAAGGAGAAGAATTAGTTGTTGCTCTCAGTCAGCCAGCCTTGATAGTGGGTGACATAAGAGAAATTATGTTTTTGTTTAGTGCAAACGGGCTGTTTCTAATTTTACAGCCGGTCTAAATGTCTTCCACTAGTCATCGGGTCTGTCAATTTCCCGCTGAAGAGTCGTGAGCTTCTCCAGGATCTTTTCCATGTTGCGTTCAATAAGAACAGTCTGAGAACTCACAGCTCTTCCCATTGCCTGATCATAGCGGCTAGCCTTGTGGGGTTTTGAACAGCTGTAACCACTTTCTTCAATCTTCAACAACCCAGAGCCGAGCCAGCTCCGATCAGCAAGAACCCTGTTATCATGGTCCGAATAGGTATAAATCTTCTATGTCCTCAATCGACAGCCCCACCAGGCAAACGACGCGCCACTTCTGCCACCCATCCATCTTGTGTCCGGCAGGCCTAGTTGAGAAAAGGGTGTCAATTACGTTGAGGAACCAGTTGATCGAATCCATATTGTTTAGGTTTTAGAGAACAAGACTGAGAGACTCTCTGAAGGTTAAAGTTACACGAGACTAGACAAGGATATGAGAAGCCAAGCAGGAAAGATACGTTGAGGGAGAGGGAGAGAGATATGTCCGCTTCCATTAGAGCCAAAGCAAGTTGGGGATATTTTGACATGACCACGTGTTAACTAGCAAGCTAAAATGGCTTCTGTCATCTGTATCCCAGGTGTCAGTCAGAAGCAGTAAACAGAACAGGGCAGCTACATCATGTAAGAACTTGAGAACTGAAACTGAAAATTTTATTGTGCTGAATTACAGAGAGACAGAGACAGGTGATGTTTTGCATTTAGTCTTATCAGGCAACAGCTGGTCAAACAAAAGTATTGTAAATCTTTTATGGGGTTGCAAGGAAGAGGACTTCCTTATTGTGATCATGTACATTATAACTTTTATAGCATGCTAAGAGCACCATTTGCACCTTATTAAAAGCACATTATCCAGCACTTTAGTTAGCATTGCACCTTGAGCATAGATTTGCACACGAAGAACATTTGCACAGACAAGTTTAATTATTTAATGAATATTTATTGCATATTTTAAAATCAGTAGGTAGCCTTTTGGTCCCAGGTCCTGCACAGCTGCTCCTCAGGAACCAAGTCTGCCAGAGCTTATCATTATATTTTTACACGCTGTAGTGCCATTTCTGGGAGCATTTCAAGTTGCTATACATCAATACAACCATGATAGCCCAGCCTTTAATAATATGTATGCATTAAGTGCACAGTAACTACATAAATTGCAAAAAAGGGCAATAAACTACAAAAAAATTGAAAATCGGTTTTGTTTTTTTACATATATTTCTAGTTAGAGAAATTTAAGCAGTTTATCCCTCAAAATTGTAAATACAGAAAAGTTGCACAAAATAGTTTCCAACCACAGGAAATTTATTTTCAGTGTCTTCGTAGTTTTATTTTTGAGATACACCAATTTTTATATACTGCAGGAAAAATGAAAACAAATATTATAATGCAAATTTGCAAAAATAACAGCATGTGCATCAAAATAAACTATTTCCAGCAGTGCAATTTGAGTCCTAAGCATCCCAGAAATGATACAGAAAAAGATAAAGTCAAACATGACTTTTAAAAACACCAGTATAGGCTTATAAAGCCCTGAAGGTAAAAAACAAAAAAACAAAACCCTACATTTTCTGCGAAAATGACGTCACTTCCGGTTTCGGGCAGGTAAAGGTGATAGTTCGCGCTGGCGTCTATTCCAACGTAGGAAGTGTTATGAACAGTTGATCAGATCAGCAAAGCGTTTTTCTGCTGCTGCAAGTGCTTTTTATGCAATTTTTATCAATTTTTGCAAAGCTATATGTGGAAGAAAACAGTGACCCTAGGACAAGCTGAATTAGTATTGGCCAATTGAAGCTTTCTGAAGCATAAATTGAAAAAGGGTTCATTACTCAAAGCTTTTCAACACAGTCCTCTCTGGTGACAACTGGTGGCCAAAAATATGAAGAGCATCTTGAATCTACAAAATAAAACGAACTGCTTCATTATGATTGCCCACTCTACAGAGTGAAGTTCTGTTTGATAGTGGGCCACTGTTGTGTTGCTTTGAACATGTATTTTTTGGGGGGGTGAAAAAAAATGTTGTATATTTGTTTAATAAATAATTTTGATCAAAAAACTTTCCTTGTTTAAACATGCACCATGGTGTAGTATTTCTTTACTTCAAGGTTCTTTATTTGTCACATGCATTGTTATACAAGTATAACGCACAGTGAAATGTAGCCTGACACGCTCCTCGACTTGTGCAAAAATGGGGGGGGACCTCCAGGCCTGTAGTTATTAGGGGTGCAACGATACTCGTATCGATATTGAACCGTTCGATACAGTGCTTTCGGTTCGGTATGCATATGTATCGAACAATACAACATTTTTAATTTATTTTATCAACTTTCCTTCTGACAATGCTGTCTGTGTTGAGAGCTCAGTGGATCTGCGCTCGACAGTGCAGCCTAGGCGGAGTAGTCGAACGCAGATTCACTGAGCACAGGGCAAGCTAGCCAGACAGAAGTTAAGCTCTCCTTGCAACATGGCAAATAGAACCTCCCCCACCCTCATTCAGATCTGGCGTTTGGAACTATTTCGGTTTTCATGTGACATATGACCCTGAAGGTAAGTGCGTCATGGACTAAAGTAAAACAGTATGTTGGATGTGCCACGCAATACTCAATTACATGGGTGGGAACTAGTGTGTTAGCGCAGTTAGCTCGTTAACGTGTTGGCCGTCCAGCCCCACGCACGGGGCGATCCGCGGTAGCTCGTTTACGGAAATTTGCCGTGTTGTGGTGTTAACGTCATTTCAACGAGATTAACGCTGACAGCACTAGTGGGAACACAACGAATATGACTGCACATTTAC